GGTTTCATTAAAGGCGTCTCTTTTAACAAAAACAGTCGAAATGGTTGCACAGCAGTTTCAGAAGAGATAAGTAGATGTGGTTGGCGTGTAGAAGTGATTGGCGCACTTTATCTACGGTTGTTTCTCTCCACCTAGGAGTACAAGTGTGTACCTAGTAGGTTCAAACACAACCATGCACTGATTACAGCTGCAACATTATTTCTCCATTGGGCTTGATTCTGTGTTCCATATGTGCTTCATCTAGTGAGTGACCCATAACATTTATATGTATTGACATTTTAAAAATTTAGTGACAGAACGGGGGAGGGGAGCATGTTCCCCTGCCCTCCTAGTGCATCCACCCCGGGGTCTTTCCTTTGCCATGAAGCTCTCACACATTATAATATTGGTATAATTATGCTAGTTTTTGAATAGCAGTAACAGTTTGGGGTACTTAATTTGTATAACCGAAAGGCCCACTGATTAATCTCAGATAAGATAGTATAATACATACTCCAAATCGAAATGCACGCCATCGTGTCGGGATTCAATATTTCGACATTAATTATGGAATCCTGATGATGACATAATTAATGTCGAACCCAACACGAAAACGATATAAGAACAAAAAAATCGGGACAAGAAGAAACTAGATTTACTATGTATAGTAGGTTCGATTCCAACCCAAATTAATTGTGAGGTTTTTTTTTTTTGTTTTTTTTTTATTAAGGAAAGTATTGAGTATTCAATACCATGGCATGCCATATAGGACAAGACATATCATTCCGTGACACAAACGAATAATATTGAAAAAAAAAACATACCTACGTTACCGAATAGACAAACGTGCCAATCTGCTTAATTATTTTTTTCTACTCTAAACGTAAATTGTATTCAACTTTGTCTTCTAAAATAACTTGTAATTTGGGAAAATAGTGACGTAAGTAACGTCATACTTTTTTACTAACAATGTTACTATAAAAAAAAATGTAGGCCTATTGAACATAAATTGTTACCTTCAGTAGCATATACAGAGATCTTCCAAGTACCGCCACATGTTTCCTGCAAATTCCCTCTACATTTTACATTGCAATGCGTGTCTGGTACTCGGCCGTACTTGGAATATGTATTGTCGCCACAAAAACATTCCATTCCATACTGTAAACCTGCGTACATATGACCATGACCATGGCAATGTGTAATACACTGACCTATAGTCATGGATCCAGATTTGATGTAATCTGACGGCATCGCTCTTTTTGGCTTGTCCTGAAAACAGCCTTCGTAAACAACTGAAGTGAAAATAAAGATACCTGTTTATTTGTATCAGCTTTATAATATTCCTAATAATTTTCCTGACGCAAAAAATAATATATAACAAGACTTACTATGTCTGTTTTTAACACAAAACATAGGACTTTTCCTCGTTGCCATAATGAGAAGTGATGTTGAAATTGCAACAAAGAAAAAATAATTAAAAAGTATAACGTAAACACACACGAAAAACAAAAATGCTAAATGCTACTAAAGAGAATTTTTATGAAGTAAAAAAAAAATACAATGAAAACAAACTTTACGACTAACGCGACGTTAGTGAGACCCGAACTATAGCTGCAATGGTAATAGTGAAGTACGTGGAGAATCATAACCATTGCGCGCATATGAGCCGACCCATCGGTGCATTTTAGTTTATCTAACTTGAGTAATATCACGGTAATTCATTGATTAGGAGCGAAATTTGCTCCTGCAATTTACGGTAATTTTGCGTTTAACCTAGCTGCAGCTGGCTTGAAATGCTTTAGTTAACGGAAATTGCGTTTATATAGTTTAATCACAAGTCCAAACAATTTTTAAATGGTCCTTAACACCATATACTACCTAAGTATCCACAACACCCTACTTCGGATCGTCACCAAAATTTCTTCATTGAAATATGAACAGTGGCAAAATATTCTTGAAAGTTCCGTTTGAATCAATTGATAAGTTTTTAATGATATTTAAATTTTGGACCTTTGCACATGCAGTGCATACCCTGGCTAAAACAAAAGAAATTATTGTAGTACAGTTTCTGCGTTTGATTTAGCATTTCTTTAGTTTATTGGAAAAGCAAAGTTTTTCAATGTTTGGCCTACTTTGGTATCTAGGATAAGTCACATTCGGGCCTATCGCATCGGTACTCTCAGCTGCTTAGAATATGGCTGGTTTTCAATATCAATCAATCACGTATTCCGTGAGTCAATGGAAGTCAGAGCATAGGCATACCCTACAACGCTTAAATTTTCTATTGTGACAACTGCGTGGTGGCGTCAGAATAGCCAATTTAACACTGGAATGGAAGCATTGCTTCCAAGAGTATGTGCACATGCTCTTCTTCTCGCAAACCAGGACCTTCACTGCCGATCGGGTATTCCATCTATATGCCTAATCTCAATGATTAAAGTTTAAATAAATTTGCATGCATTAACCGGTATAGAAGAAACTTTTCAGGGGGATCTTAAATATGCCAATACATAGCATACCCTGCAATTTACCCTACGGTCCGCCACTGCTCAAATTCACACACGAATTAAGATCGCCACTATAACTCAATATTCTCTACCTCGTCACACAGCTACTGCTTGCAAAAGCCAACCCAATTTAATTGTAAGATCCTTTTTATTAAGGGAAGTACTGAGTATTCAATACCATGGCATGTCACATAGGGCAAGACATATAATATTTGAAATGACAAACCTACGTTAATACCGAATAGTCAAGCGTGCCAATCTGCTTAGCAATTTTTATTTTCTACTTTACACGTAAATTTCATTCAACTTCTAAAATAACTTCTTGTAGTTTGGGAAAATAGTGACGTAAGTAACGTCGTACTTATTTACTAACAATGTTACTATTAAACATAAATTGTTACCTTCAGTAGCATATACAGAAATCTTCCAAGTACCGCCACAGATTTCCTGCGAATTCCCTGCACATTTTACATTGCAATTCGTGTCTGGTACTCGGCCGTACTTGGAATATGTATTGCCGCCACAAAAACATTCCTTTCCATACTGTAAACCTGCGTACATATGACCACGACCATGGCAATGTGTAATACACTGATCTATAGTCATGGATCCAGATTCGGTGTAATCTGACGGCATCGCTCTTTCTGGCTTGTCCTGAAAACAGCCTTTGTAAACTTCTGAAGTAAAAATAGGAGATACATGTATGTTTGTATTTGCTTTATAATATACCAAATAATTTTCCTGGTGCAAAATAAAATAATATAATCAAAACTAGACTTACTATGTCTGTTTTACGACAGACTTATGGCTATTCCTCGTTACCATAATGAGAAGTGATGTTGAATTTGCAACAAAAACAGTAAATGCTACTAAAGAGAATATTTATGAAGTAAAAAAGAACATACAACGAAAACAAACTTTACGTCTAACGCGACGTTAGTTAGACTCGAACTATAATAGCCGCAATGGTATTTTTTTTTCTCGTACGATATCAATTAATATCTAGTTGCTGTTATTACTTTGACTGGAACTGTCGTAGCAGGGTCACTAAAAAGCAGGTTAACAACATGACCTTCCCATTTATACTCCTGGATGAGGAGAGGCAAACGTAAGTAAAGTGTCTTGCCCAAGGACACAAGCAGTGCGGCGAGCGTCGGTATCAAACTCCTAATCTCACGACTAGAAATCCAACAACTTAGGCCAACTCAGACAGCGTCGGCCGACGCAGCCTGACCCGATTTATCGTCGGGGACAGTCTTAAGCCGTCGTGGAAAATATTAAACATGTTGAATATTCCACGACGCGACTGCCCCCGACGCACACCATCGCGTGCGTTTAACTCACACAGACCCGACGCGACAACAAATCGAGTCGGGCTGCGTCGGCCGACGCTGTCTGAGTTGGCCTTTAC